AGGGTCGTCCTTGCGCAAAATGTTATAAGTGTCGTGATTGGCATTTTACTGGCAATCGCGACGATTGGAATTGGATATGTAATTACAACAATTGGCGTGATGAAGATTGGGAGCGTTGGAGAAATGATCGTGACAAGCTTTTCAAGAAGCGTGATGGTGCAACATGTATTTATCGTTTTATTGGTGGTATTATTCGTTTTCATCTCTGCTTATGCGAGATGCATTAATATTTGTTGTTCACGAGACTTCGTTCTAATCTTAATCATTTGATTGTACTACTTCTTTTTTAATTTTCAATAAAGTCGCCACACGTTTTACCTGTTGGAGAGAATTTTATGCGTTAGCGCTAACTAGTAAAAGTGAGTAGTAATGAAAAAGAAGTTAGTCGGTAAAGGGTTTGGCGGGCATGCGACTTCGGTTCGAAAAGGACTTTCGTCGCAAAGGGAGTTACACCGCGTAATGCGAGCCGCCGCGAAGCGGCGGCGAGCCTACGAAATTTTAGAGATATAGATGTCGCCGGTGTACGGTGTATATTTCGTTAAAAATAACGAAAAATTGCATAAATAAATGAATAAAATATAGTAAAAATATTTTTAGTAATTTTAGAACATTATTTCCTATAATATAATGTATCATAAGACGCAAAAAATCGAAAAAAATATATTCTCATGAAATAATTTATTGATTGGATGATCGCCCAAACCAATGGAAAATATGTTCCATGTTTTACTGTTGAGTATCGGTGATTCATAGATTGGTGTATAGATGTAAACTTTGTATTTTTTATTTTAGAAAAATTAAAATAATTTTTATAAATGCAGAAAATGTTGGAGATGATAATTAAATTTTAGATCATGTATTTTGTCTTGTCGATAATTTATTTGTATAAAGAAAAACTATTTCGTGAAATAGGTTTGAAAAAACGAATGATGATTTTAAATTGTTCTGAAGATAATAGTTTTGTTTTTCAATAGAAACTGATGATTGTTTTTACTTAGGGGAATGGAAAATCAAAAATACTATTAAAGTTTTTTTGTTGGTAGAATGTATTGGTATCAGATAATTAAATATTGTGTGTCAAGTATGAGCCATGTAAGATTTGAGAAAAAGTTAAACATGAAAAGAAAATACTATTTCAAGAGGCTGAAGTTTTCAAATTATTTTCATTTATTGATTGCAGGCAGTGTGAGAGAGAAAGCTGATTTTCGTTTTTGTACATTAATACTTGATCGACACGAAAATAATTTGAAAGAGTTTGAGTTTCGATTAAAATTACCTATCAGTTTTCACTCAACTAACTGTTAAATTGTTTTGGAGTAGATTGAATTAAGTTGAAATATGAATTATTTTCATTGAATTGATATTAAATGATGGAAGAAATAAAAAAATATATATTTTATTTTTATTCACTTTAAAGATTTGCTAGTAAACCATTATATTTTAATGGTTTTTTTTCATTTAATCGTTTGGAACATACGTTTTATAATATTTACTTATCAAATATGAACGAAACGATGAATTCTGT